TTCTCTCTTCTAATATTCGTAAGTAAAGCTCTAAACTTCCCTCTCAGCATTGCTTTAGCTGAATTTTTCATGTGATTTTAAGTGTGCCTTTTCATATGTGATTTTTTTTAATTGTAATTTATTTCAAATTGGATGGATTTGGGTATATTTTAGGTCTCCTTTTGTTGATAATTTATACTTTAATTCTTTTATGGTCAGATAACATATTGATACATATATGATTTAAATCCTTTGAGAATTATTGAAACTTGTTTTATGACCCCATATGTGTTCTTAGTGAGAATTCCCTGAGCACTTGAAAAAAAAAGTATTCTGAAGTTCTTGGATCTAGCGTTCAATTGTGTTAACTAGATTCATTTGGTTTATACTATTGTTCAAATCTTATCTCACTAATTTTCAATCTACTTGCTCTATCAATTACTGAGATAGAACAGTTCAAATTTAACAATAATTATGCATCTGTCTATTTCTCCCTTTAGTTCTGTTTGTGTTTCATGTATTTTCAGGCACTGTTATTAGATGCATATTCATTTAGGATCCTTGTTTCTTCTCAGTGCTTAAACTTATTATGAAATATTCTTTTTTATTTCTGTTCATATTGTCAGAGAGTAATATCATTTTATTTCAATATCTCTTTAGCTTTGTGGTTAGTGTCTCTGCTTTATGTCTTTCTAATTCTTTTTTTCTTTTAATGAATCTTTTGTTTCTTTTTTTAAGTGCAACTCTAGCATATATTTAGGGCTTGTTTTCATTCCAGTATGACAATAACTGCCTTTTTATTGGAGTTTTTAATCAATTTACATTTAACATAATTGAGTTTAAATCTACCATCTTGCTACTTGTTTTCAATATGGCCCTCAGTCTTTGTTCTTATTTTCTGCCTTCTTTTATAATAATTTAGAATTTGCTGCTACTGTTTTATCTCCTCTATCAGCTTTTAACTACATCTATTTGATTTTCATTTTTTCTGGTTTGTCTAGGAATTATTTGTATTCTTAACTTATGATGCCATTTCATGTACATTCTAAGAATTTTACAATGTGACATTATTATGTATTTTATTTCTGCATATATTATAAAACATTTTTTTACACAATTACTTTTAAGGAATTATGATATTAGGAAACAAAAATTCTTATATTTACCCACATACATGTGTGATGCTCTTTGTGCCTTTGTGTATGCAATTTTCCTTCAGCCTGAAGAATTTCCATTAATATTTCTTATAGTTCATTTCTGCTAAATTAGCTCAGCTTTCATTTATCTAAAAATAGTTGTTATCTTGCCTTTAGTTTTTTCAGAAATTTTCACTGGACATTGAATTCTCAATTGGTGAGTTTTTCTTTTATACATTTCAGCACTTATAAAATATCACTCCATTGAATTATGACCTTCATTGTTTCTGATAAAAAAGAAATATTTTAAATTTTGTTCCTCTGTAGATAATTGGCTATTTTTTAGAGATCCCTATATTTATCATTGGTTTCAGCAACAAACTTTGCCATTTACAAGGTTCTTGTTTTGTTTGTATCTGCTGCTTGAGGTTTGTTAACTTTCTCCTATCTTGGGGTTGACATTTTTAATCAAATGTGGGGAGAAAGTTGGTCACTGACTCTTCAAATACTTTTTCTGACTGAATTTCTCTTTCATCTCCCCTGGGACTCCAGTTATACCTGTATTGGACCATTTTATATTGTTTCTAGGATCTATCCATTTTTTCAATATTTTTTACTTCCTGTGATTCAAGTTCTTTGATTTCTCCTTTTGTAGTGTCCTATTTGCTATTAAACTCACTCAGTAATTTTTTAAAATTTCAGATATAATAATTTTTACTTTTAGAATTTTTGTTTGGTTCTTTTTATAGTTTCTGTTTTTGTACTGAGATTCCTTACCTGTTCACCTATTATGTCTAGTTTGCTTTAAATTCTTGATATGTTTTAAAGTTTTTATCTACTAATTCCAACATCTGAGCCATCTCTGGGTCTATTTCTTTTAAGTATATTTTCCCTTTGGTCACATTTTTTCTGTGTGTTTTTTTTTTTCATAGATAGTAATTTTTTCACTGTTTTTTTTTTTTATTGGATATTGTGGACTTTACATTGTCACAAAACTGTATTTATCTGTCTTCCTTTGAAGAGTCTTGACTTCTGTTCTGTTGATAGTTAACTTGCTCACAGACTAGCTTTATCTTCTTGAGGCTTGTGTTAAAAGATTTTAGGGAAAGTATAAAGTAACCTTTACTGTAGAACTAGAAAAACCCTACTCCTAAGAATTTGCCTTTCTGAAATCTTAATTGAATGTCCAGTTTGTACAGTGAGGTCTCTTGAATTTGTCTGATCAGTTCTCCAATGTCTCCAAGCCTTATACAATCTTTGGAATCTTTGTTCAGCTCACAATTCCTCAGTAATTATTCTCTTCCGTGACTCACAGAGTCTTTCCTTCTGCATGTACAATTTAGTGTTCAGTAAAATATTAAAAGAGACTTTTATGCATATTTCTGGAGCTCTCTTTCTGCGTGTGTGTGTGTGTGTGTGTGTGTGTACAACCTCTTTCTCTCTGGTACCTGATACACAAAGCTGAACTTCAGTATTTATCCCATCGGCTCAGTGAGATCATTGCCCTTTGCTTAATCTACTCCTTTATGCATCACAGTCTAGAAGGTGTTTTTAGCAGAAGGCTGAAGGTGATTATTGGGATGACATCATGTATATTCTTTTTCTCAAGGGTCACATTCTTTTCTGATTGTTGTCTAGAGTTTGAAAACTTATGTTACAGTTTTATATTTGTTTATAACAGGAGAACTAGTTTGGTACTAAATATGCCATCATGGCTGAAAATGTAAGTCTCTAGTACAATTGAGTGATTCACTCTCACTTGTTCATAAACCTCAATTTTAAGTGGCTATAGTATTACCTTTGAGAAATGGGATATCTTTGAAAAAGCTTGTAAACAAAATATATTTTTGATAGACAAAGAGCATGGCCGAAATGATATGTGGAATTCGAGGTGTTATTTGCAAACTCTGGATTAATGCTTTTCTGTATGTATGGTTGTATGTTTTTATGTATTTGTGTGTGAGAGCATGAGTGAGAGCAAATGAGTATTAGGAGAGGAAAAAGAGAAACCAAGCAAATATAAAAGTAGGAAGACACACTGAAAGGGTAAAAATCTTTGCTTTTTTTTAAAAAAAATAATATCATGGAAGTAATTTAAAACTTAAAAAATTGGACTCTTGCCAAAACCGGTTTGGCTCAGTGGATAGAGCGTCGGTCTGCAGACTGGAAGGTCCCAGGTTCGATTCCGGTCAAGGGCATATACATTGGTTGCGGGCACGTCCCCGTTAGGGGGTGTGCAGGAGGCGGCTGGTCGACGTTTCTCTCTCATTGATGTTTCTAGCTCTCTATCCCTCTCTCTTCCTCTGTGAAAAAATCAATAAAATATATTTTTTTAAAATTGGACTCTTTCTGCAATATTAGCTACATTTTTGAATGCCTACCACATGTTGGGCATTTTTCTGTGTTTCACATATTTTAACTATTTAATCTACACAATAACCTTTTGTGATATGTGCCTGATTTATCCCCATTTTACAGATTAGAAAACTGTGAGAGATGGCATAACTTGCTCATGGTTGCAATGTCAATAGGAGGAGTTGGGATTTAATCCAAAACTCTAAATTTTTAACCTCTATACTTTCTCCATATCAGAGAAGGATTTGGTTAATGTCTCCTCTAGTCTCTTCCTCACTCCTCTGTCCTCTAACAAAAATTTTCCTGTTAAGCTTTGGTGAGCTATAAAAGCCTCCCTGAGGTTTGGTGCTGGTGGAGGATGCTTGACAACCGAAAAGATGGGGCATGCTGTTGATCCACCGATTTTTCAAACTGGACTCTTTTTGCATCTTCCATTTCATCACCTTCAATCACCAGTATATCTTTTCTTTCTTTTTATTTATTTATTTTAAAAAAAATTTCTTTTTTAATTAAGGTATCACATATGTGTCCTTATCCCCAGGATATCTTTTTAATATTCAAGTGACCTTCAAGTGTGGTCAAAATTTGCTGCATGACTCAGGGAGATTTTCAGACCCTAATTTGGACAATTTGCGAAACCGGGTTATGATTGGGATGACCCATTTCCCTTGAGATACAGGAACTTGTTGAGGGGAGGAAAAAACACTTTCCTCAATTATCAATAATTCACACCAGGAGATTTTCAGACTAGTTCTGCTTCTGACTTGGGGGATGGTGAGATTGGGATGGGGGTATGAATACTGATCTGGACTAGAGGGACTGGGTTTCTCTAGGATTTTATTTCCACTTTCTCTACCTGAGAGTTGCTATCTCCTCAAGATGGGTACTTCCAGTGATCTTGAAGATTTTAGGAAGGAAGGAGAGAACAGATTGCAGGCTATTATTATGGCAACATCATTTCTCTTTGGCCACCCAACAGTTGTATCCTGAGTCACGAACCACTCCGTTCAGTGGCTGTTGAACTCAACTGCCTTTGAAATTCAGAGGACAAAGTCTGTGTGTGCCAAAACCAAGCCCCTGAGTCACCCAGCACCCATCAGGAAGACAGCGATGAATAGGGTCGGAAGCAGTGCCAGGACCCATGCCTTGCAGCTGGTATGGACCTTCAAGTGTCCATTCCCCAGATATCTTTCTGGTATAAAAATCTCATGTCCTCACAGACAGGAGGCGCCATTTCTATTCTCTCTGCTCTTTGCAAGGTTCCTAACTAATGAATCATCTCCTTTTTACATAAAGTGAGCCGTGTACTAGGGAGATCATATTTTATTTGTAATGCCTAAGGAAATTGTATTAGACATTACAGTTTGTGAAATGAAACAGGTGGAGTTTGTATTTGGAAAGGTAAGGCCTGAATTTGGACAGATTTACCTGGGCCCATTTTAAAGCCAGAAAACTAGTGTCCCTTTTGGCTTGTCAACCAGAGTTCTGTAATTATTCTATATAATTGTTATTTTCTTTTCTTTTTGGAAGGAATCTCCTGCTGAAGAAAGAATCTAAAGAGATGCCTAAGTTCCAGGGAATTTTCCTCTAAGACTAATAACATCAAGAGAGTTTTTATTTTATTTATTTATGGTCATTGTTTTTCTCTACATGAAAAAAAAAAAAAAAAAAAAAAAAAAAAAAAAGAGTCATCTTCAGAGAACCCAATTAGAATTTTTAATTTTCCTTGTGCTGGTTGAAGAAGAATCTCAAACCTTGGTGCTGTTTTTTTGTTTATTTCAAGAAGAATTTCAGCAGGTGCTTGACAACTTATGCCTCCTATAAAACCAAGAAATTTATTTTTACATGGTGCATATTCAAGATATCTTCCAACTGACACCCCACCGAACAAAGAAGTTGAGCCATTTTTCACTATACATTTTTGGTTACATATTCGAGAACTGTTTTGAAAGTCAACCATAGTAATAATAGCCAATTCAAAAAAATATCCTACTGAAGAGTGAGTTACATCTTTGTCTCTATTTCTACATTTATACTCCATCTCTCTCCATCTTTTAGTTCTCCCAGAAACAAAACAGAGTATCTCTCCTCTGGCAAACTAATGGCAAAGTTCCATGTAAGAAAATGCTGAGCTTGAAATTATGAAACATCACCATCAGTTTGGAAGGATTACAGGATTAGGATGTAACCAGAAATGTAGGGCTCAAGGGCCTAGAACACTAAGTTCAGAGATGCCATGTCATTGGCTCCAAGGTTAAAAACAGAGGACCACAGTTTCATTGCCTGTGATTATGACATACTCGCACATCAGTTGGGCTCAAATACGCATGGAAGACAGTCAGCCAAAGGGTAAATAAATTAAACTGAAGTGACTCAGAAAGCACCTAGGGAGCTGAGTTGTGAAGCAGTAACAAGGAACTTTGTTCTTGAGAGAATGGCCCCATTTAGAACTCAAGGGAGAGAGCCTCATTAGAAAACTCAAAGAATCATGGTACTAAAATGAGTTTCATTTATAAGCTTTCTCAATAGAGATGGAAAAGATTATGTAGGATGGTGTAAGGGGGGCTGGTATCTATATTTGGAAATTCTGGGCATTTACCATACACTAAATTCAAGGCATTTCCCCGATTATTTTATATTTTTAAATTATTTGATTTTTTTGAGAGAGAGGAAGGAAGAGGAAAAGAGAGAGCAATATCAATGTGAAAGCTGCCTCCTGCATGTTCCCTTCTGGGGATTGAGCTGCAACCCGGCATGTGCCCTGACCAGGAATTGAACCAGCAACCTTTCGGTACACAGGACAGTGCAGCTCAACCAACTGAGCCTCACCAGCCAGAGCCCACGTTTTCCCTCTTAAACCGGCAGAATAGTCAGATAGGTGAACTAAGAATGTCTGTTTAAAAACAGAAAATTACATTGATGTAAGATTTTGAGACGTTCCTCAGTCTCACCTATCAGCTCACTTTTTGGAAGAGTTTTCTGCTGGGGCACTGAGCTACTACCATTTTGTGGCATATTTTTTCTTACTGAGGTACTTTTATGAGTTAATCTTGTTGCATTTTCTACCAGGACAAGGCCCAGGTGTCCACTAACTTTTATGAAGGCATCTATGGAAGGTTTTTGAAGTCTACTGGTTAAGAGGAAAAAGTGCTTTTGTGTTTGATCAGGATGTAGGCAGAAGGTAGTTAGGAACAATGCTGAGTCACACTTTAAAACAGCTGCATTGCAAACAAAGTGAGAGAGCTTCATCGTTGGCTCTGAAGTCAGCTAGCCTGAGTCCTGGTTTTTGTTACATCAAGGCACACCTCTCAATGTCTCTAAGCTTCACTTACCTTCTATTTAAATGCCAACATTTCTTGAGTATTTATGATGTACCAACCACTATTATCAACCCTTTTTTAAAAAATGTATTTTTATTGACTTCAGAGAGGAAGGGAGAGAGAGATAGAAACATCAATTATGAGAGAGAATCATTGATTGGATATCTCCTGCACGCCTCCCACTGGGGATTGAGCCTGCAACCCTGGCATATGCCCTGAGCAAGAATCAAACTGTGACCCCCCTGGTTCATAGGTTGATGTTCAACCACTGAGCCATGCCAGCCATGCTCGGGACTTTTATTCATTTAAACCTTACAACAATCTTATTATGCCCCCACTTTACAGATAAGTAAACTGGAGTTCAGAAAGGCAATGAAGCATGCTGAAGATTATATCTTGAAAATTAAGGAGACCAAGATTCAAATTCTCATTCGTTTCATTTCAGAGTCTGAGCTTTTAATGTCCCTGAAATGAGGGACAATAATAACATCATCACTGACATGTATCAAAAGACATAATGTCTATAAAAGCACCAGAGTTATATACACATGGAAGGCATTGCAATTGTTATAATGAGATCATTTAAGAAATGGGAAAACTAGCAATTACTTGACATGGTCATGGCAGATATGCTCTCAAATGCTGACACCAGAGCTTACTTGTTCTATGTGAATCAACTTAGTGTTTCCTGAATACATTATTTTTGACAATTATTATGACAATTATGATCAAGTTATAATTTGATAGTACTCAATCAAGTTATTGTATTAAATATATGTTATATAAATCAGGTCTGATGGATGACGATTCCACTATAGATTGTATCAGTTTTTAGAAGGCTGGGCAACCTAAAAGACAAAGAGAAGCAACTCTGGTCCATTCGTTACCTTTGAGTCAAGCTGCACTGGTTTGCTTATTTGTTTAAGCTTTAAAGACATTTGCACAGAAATTCAGCTCAAAAACCCCAGGAACAATAATGCTGGTTACCAATAATCTAGAAAATGTTATTTGTTTGCTTGCAGGTCATAAGAGGATCAGAGTCTATGAAACAGAGACATAATGTTCCTTAAATCACCACCATGATAAAATATACACAATTCCAAGTCATTCTTATTCTCAAGTAGAAATTTAAATGGACACATACAAACACTAAATTTAGAAATGCAGTGATCAAAATGCTTTGTAGATTTATAGTTAAAAACAACCCAATCAAACAGCACCCCCTCCCCCCAAAAAAATCCACCTACAAGGATTTTAAAAACATTTTATTCCAGTTCCATATGCTGTTTCTCTGAAATGCATATGACCCAAGGATTTGGGCCCCAAACCCAAAGCATACTTTCCCTCCTCTATTGGATCTTTAAATTCCTCAGATCTGCACTCTGAGCACTCTGCTTTTGCTGTCTGGCCCGGTCTGCTATAGTCAGAAATCTGTTGACAGTGGTGTATGAGGTAGCGGAGAAAGCTCAGGTCCTTCCTTTTGTTGGCTGCACCAGAGCGTCAACAAGAACACTTCCGTCATCAGCAGGAAAGCCATGGCCTCATGGACCAATCAGATGGATTCTCCTGTGCAAACAGTTGGCTTGTCCTATTCCAGTCGCCATAGTATTTGATGGAATTGATTAAACTGATTGGTTATTTTAGGGTTCTGAAGGAAAATCGGAATATATAATAGGTAGATCAAGAGTAAAGGAACTGTGGTCATCAGTATCTCTCAAGATGAAAATGTAAACCTACACCCTGGTTACCAGATATTGTATCCTTTAAGGAGCCTGAGGACTGAAAGTTTAAAACTCATGCTTCTATCCCTTATAAAGAAATATTTTCGAAACTCTGAGGTTTGATGGTGTCAACTAAATCACCAACTAGAAATAAGAATTTTTAAATCTGATGGATATCTTTTTATTTTGCTGAATTATTTTTCTGTTGATAGGAGAAGTCTTTCAGAACTATGAATTTGCATCACATTTAGTGCATGTTTAATAACTTGTTTTTATTGAAAAGAATAACATTTAAACATATATTTTTGGCCCTGGCCAGGTAGTTCAGTTAATTGGAATATCATCTTGATGCACCAAGGTTTTGGGATCCACCTCTGGTCAGGGCACATACAAGAATCAAACAATGAATGCATAAATAAATGAAACAACAAATCAATATTTCTCCCTCTCTCCAAAAATAAATAAGTAAAGTTAACAATTTCTTTTTTTCTTTTCTTTTTTTTTTATTACAGAGAGGAAGGGAAAGGGATAAGAGAGAATCATTGATTGGCTGCCTCTTGCATGCCTCACACTGGGGATTGAGCCAGCAACTTAGACATGTGCCCTGACGGGGAATTGAACCTTGCCCTCTTGTTTCATAGGTCCTTCTCTCAACCACTGAGCTGTATCGGCTGGGCAAGAATAACACACACTGAGTGGCCAGTATGTGTTATGATCTCTGAATGCAGTGAATATCCTATATAATAAAAGGCCAATATGCAAATTGTCCCCTCGACCAGGAGTTTGACCAGCAGGAAGGCCGGCCAACCGCCCTTGTCCCCTCTCCCTTGGCCAGGCTAGCTGGACTCCACCCATGCATGAATTCATGCACCGGGCCTCTAATATACATATATATATACACACACACTGAGTGGCCAGGTTATTATGTGTTCAGAGATCTGGCCACTCAGTGTATATTTAAAATTGGGGCTGCACTAGAAAACCCACACTGAAATAGTCTCCACACTTATGGGTAATCTTAGCTAATCTCCATCTGCTGAGTTGTAAAGGCTTCTCTTCTGGAAAACAAAAGCCGTCTCTGACTAAAGGTTTAGTTGAGTCATAAAACCAGTTCTATAGCGGGTGCTCAGTCTTTCCTATTTTCCTCCCAAACAGAAAAGGGTTTGCACCTAAACGATCTGATGTGGTTTTTGTAAAGTTACGTGGGCTCTGGTCCTGGAGAGGGGTGGACTGTCTTAGGAAGGGAGGCATAGGATGAGATGCCAAATGAATGCACTGCACGACATTTGGGGGGGGCAAGACATTTTATTCAGTTACTGTTTTGAAGTCTATTGGAAAATTGATTTCTCCCATCCAAGTACTAACCAGGCCCGACCCTGCTTAGCTTCCGAGATCAGACGAGATCGGGCGCGTTCAGGGTGGTATGACCGTAGACGGAAAATTGATTTCTACTGGAAAGTTTTTCTGGGGAGGGTAGGAGAGGCTGTAAGAAGTAATATAGGGTCCAGCCGATGTAACTCGGTGGTTGAGTGTTGACCTATGAACCAGGAAGTCAGGGTTCCATTCCCTGTCAAGGCACATATCCAGGTTGCAGGCTCAGTCCCCAGTGTGGGGTGTGCAGGAAGCAGCCTATCAATGATTCTCTCTCATCATTGATGTTTCTCTCTCTCTCTTTTCTCCAAAACCAATACAAATATATATATTAAAAAAAAATTTATGTAGGTGCACCCAAACCAAAATAGCTTAAGAAAGGACCATTTTCAAAAGGCAATTTCATGTTTAATGGCTTGGGGCTTAACAATTCTACAAGGTTTACAATTAACACTTTTTGTTTTGCATTTCTGTTTTCTTTTGGATGGCTCAACTTGGCTAAGAATGAACAAACCCATTCATGAGGCCAAAGAGCATTTTTTCGGCCTCCATTCTGTGGGTCGGGACAAGGACTACAACAAGGAAAAATAGTGCTGCTCAGAATGTTTTAACCCATTTGATCAACAAAATCCAGAGGCTTGGGACCTCTTGACTAAAGCTTTGCTTCCCAGGTTTTAATCTGGAGGGAGCGTACTTTATTAAAAATGGCTGACAATGAAGTATTCCATACAAGGGCTAGCTTCAGCCATACAGCAACAGCAATGGTTGGAACAATAAGCTGACATTCATAAGAGCTTCTAGTTCAAACATGTATTTTTCTCCTTTTTTATTTATTTTTCAGTTTTATTGAGATACAGTTGACATACAGTACTCTATGTAAGTGAGGGTGTACAGCATGATGACTTGATGTACATATATTATAGAATGGTCACCACAGTAGGTTTAGTTAACATCCATTTACCTCATGTGTTTATAAAATAAAAATAATTTTCCTTGTGATGAGAAATTCTAGAATTTACTCATAGTAACTATCAAGCATACTACACAGCAATGTTAACTGTAGTCATCATATGAAACACTACATCCCAGGAATCATTTATCTTATAACTGGAAATTTGTACCTTGTGACCTCCTTCGACCATATTTTTAACTCTTTCCAGTCTGCCATTTAGCCATTGGGAAGAATGAGGAAGAAAGCATATTCTTCAAACACGATTTTTAAAATAGCCTGTTTTTTTTTTATTGTCTTA